GCTCTCGGACAAGCACTGATTAAGTTTTCACAAGTTGATAAAGGAAAAAAGATACGTAACCTTTCTCCCAAGATGAAATATCCAGAATAAAACAAAGAATAAGATAAAACAATAAAATTTTTGCACGTAATTTTTTCCTATTAGGGGTGCCGGAAGCGCGTCATTAGGGGTCAACTTTAGGCTTAATCGGCCTTGAGCAGAAGCACCCCATTATCAGTTGGAAAGATCTAAGTTGGTCGGGAGTGATCATTTTGTTGGTAGCGACGCACCCGCAACGCATGCATTTTATAGTCGTTGGTGAACCAGCGAGGTGCAGTTCCAACCAATGGAGCCGCCTTTGCTAGAAAGAATTGCGCCTTTCTTGGTCTAGCTTCGGGCTCGTGGGGAACCCAGACTGCAGTATAAGAAACGGGATGATCAGATTCGACCTTAGTTTGGTTCAATGTGAAGCTGACGCGTAACCAAAGCAATAAAGCAACGAATCCCCCAATTAATTTGCTAAGAATTAATGGACTGGTTGAAGGTGTCGAGTAAAACATAAATTGTCTTTTGTATTGATTTCCACCCACAGGTTCACACTGGATGTCGCGGATTATAAACCTCCTTTTGGGCTTTGATAACCCCGACTTTCTCAACGATCCACCGCTTGAGAATTTACTAATTTCTGCTGTAACCGATCCCAATGCTCCGCAACGCATGGGTTACCACGTAGTGGCTGAGATGCCTTCTGATCGTCCAAGAGTCATATCTACTCACGTTCCTGCGACACACCTGCCAAAGTCATTCTGGAATACCGAAGGAGTCAAGGTACTTTCCAACAAAGTGAAATGCGCGTGCAATTTACATTAACGAAGTTTCCCTTGTTTTTTGTGAAGGTGTAGTAGCCCTTAGTCGAATTTCTTTCATTGCCTTTTCGTTTTTTACGTAACGTGAGCGGTGAAGCGCGTCTCCATTTCTTTTAAATAGCCCTATTGTTGCCATGCGTCTCTCTCGGGGGAGCGGGTTAGCGTAGCGGTTCTTTCCTCGCTTTGCACCAATGAGGCCCGGGTTCGAGTCCTGGCTTGGCCCAGGCTTTAAGTGCATTGTTTTCCAGTCCATACTCGCTCTGCGCAGGTTTTCTCCGGATACTCCGGTTTCCTCCTGCCTCTAAAACTGGACCTTCTTCCGAACTCCGTAATGTGATGCTGATTAGTAAAGTGTATGAATAAACGTACAGTTATTGGCGCAAATAGCCCGAGTTGCTGAAAGCGCCATTAAAACAAAACAACATCAACAACACGCGTCTCTTTCTCATTCTTTCCTGCGTTGCTGATAGTCACAGTGGTCGCTTCACTACTCCGAGTTCTTGTGCTTCCTTCTGGGTGATTCCGGTTGTTAATGTTTATCCTTTTCTTTGCATTCATCGTTGTGGTGAACCGGGTTGTTTGGCAGTAGCATACAGCTTAATATATTCTGGTATATTATTTTGTTTGTTACCCAGGTGGTCTATTTGTTTTCCTTTTGATATAAAAATTCATTTACTTTAGTTAAGAAAAGAAGATAACTGCATAAAGAAAAACACAGAAAAGGAGACTCCTTTTTTTAAATTTATTTTCTAAGGCGAAGTAGCCACCCAATTATGCCCAATGGCTAAGTTAGACACTCTATTTTCGGAGGCAAAGTAGCCTAAAATTTAGCACTCTCCAAAAAGGCCATAAGAAGTACCGGAAGTAGACGAAAGGCATACTTACCCTAGAGAAAACTTGGCTTATAATGTGGTGACGAAATGTTGGAAATCTCTATGCACACCAACGTAAGCACAACCATGCCAAATGTGGGGTTGCAAACTCTTCTGCTATAGTAAGCACGACTTTCTGCTAACCCTTAAGCAGTTCTGTGAAATTGGGACTTGGGTAATTTCTGTACGTGAAATTTAATTCTTGCTTTTTTATATGGGAATTTTTTTCGTAATTATTTTTCCTGCATAGATTCTCTTCATGCTGAGAAACCCCTTCGACACGTGTAGATCTGCATTCAAGTTAATTTCAAATTTAGTCAGTGGACCCATGTCGTTTTCTTCATATCTGAAGTTCAGTCTAGATGAGCAAAAACTTGGTGAGTTTTGTTGTGATGCAACGCCGCGAATTCGTCGCACCTGTCTCTACCGTTTTTCAGCCGTTCGCTCGGCAACGTATGCACTTTGTATACATCTGCTCTCGCTGTTATTTTACCTCTTCAGGCCACAGTTGTACAACCGTGACAAAAAGTCCAACCTGTATCGGCCTGGGTAGCAACCTGGGCCCAAGAGTTACTTTATTTTCACTTTGTTCCAATATGACGAAAGCCTATGGCGGTGCCATGCAGTACATATTTTCAAAAAAGGAAGTAACGTTTTTCCAGTTTCGTTTTTACGCTCGGTATTTTTCAAAGTTCGTTTTTACGCGATATGTACTTTTTTAATTTTGGGGAGATGACTTGCCCAGCCATGGAAAAGTAAAAAGCGCCGGGGAGGGGGTGCCGACACCATATGCCACTATACAGGGATGATATTTATGAGACAAATGTACGTATTACTTGCAAGCAGAATCTTACATTAGAATGGCATCTTTGAGGAATTTTGTTCTCCCTTGTGTTGGGAAGTCTGAAAAATTTTTCTTATGAATTCATTCATTTATTTTTCTCACCACAAAAAAGTCGGGGAGGATTCAATATCCCCAGTCAAATGGTGGAGGGGATATATGCTCCCAACCCCACATCCCCCGGAACTACACCCACTAACAAGGAAGATTATTTTTTTAATGAAAAATGAGTCCTACAGTTTGGTCATAACCAGCCTTTGCACTACCTTCGAACACTAACACCGAATACTGACATCGACTTCCGCCTCGTAGAACGAACGTTTGAGTTCTGATGTCAATTTAGGATTTTCCCTTTATGATTTTAACTGTGGAAAACTGTGTTCTAAAATTTATAAAACAAACATGTAAAAAGATGGATGGCCATCCTCCATATAGGTTTGAACAAAAAGTCTGACTTTAGAAAACAAGTTTAAACCTGATGGAAGAAAAAATTTTGGAGATCGGTCCGATTATTAATCGTTCGTTGTTTCAACAAAATATTAGGTAGCTGTACTCTGCAGAGTCTTACCCGAAGTTATTGGGAAAGACGGCATCAGAAAAACCTTCTTTTCGTCTACTACGAAGATCTGAGAGAAGTAAGCAGCTTTTATCTCTTATGAATTATAAATTAGCTTTGCTTCCCAATTTTTAGGGGTTATTTTCAATTAGAATATGCAATAGCAGATTATAGGTATTCGATTTCACGTTTGCATGTTCGCACTGTATGTACGTGCGTGGGATAGTACAGCCAGGAATCCGCAAAGCTTTCTTTTTTTTAAAGATAAACCACAAAGGCATTTGCCTTTTTCGACGTCCAAGGTCCGATCTGAGGACCTAACAGGGGTCGATCCCCCAAAGAGCCCCTCCCCCTTAAAAAGGGTGATTGGTGTGTCTCTTTCATCTTTCATGATTTCGACAGCGTGTAAAAAGCCTCAACATGTAGCATCACCCTCAGAAGGCCATACAAGATTACATAAGAAAATGGCATATCCCCCCACAACCACCACCAAAACAAAAGCCCCTGAAAAAGCTGTTCTTGATCTGCCTACAATGCCAGCGGCCCGTAACAGCGGTGGGGTCGAGCAAAGAACCCATGATGCAGCGCTTCGTGCAAGGACTACGGGGAGGAACAAAGGCATGTTCATTGCTATCAGTAGCGCGCCCGCGTCGCTCACTGTTGTGCCAGAGAACTGCGACAAGATCCACCAACTGCCAGGCTTAGAGGTGCTGACCAGTAAATAAGCTACCATAGACAACAGTGAAAAATATCCCCACTTCAAAAAATAGGAAAGAGGACTCGCAAATTTCTCAGATGTTCAAGACACATCCCAGCTTAAAGCTCACTTCCTCGACCGATGACAGTATTAAAGATGTACCTTTCCAGAGATAATCATCACAAATAGTCACGAGGCCCATCGCCATTTTGAAAATTGATTCACTTGCTCCATTGCAAAATATAGAGCGATTTGGAGGCCCCATTTTGTCCGATACCTTCAGGAATACAAGTTGGCAGTCCGGCTCCTAGATTCCGTCCTCATTCTTTACAAACCACCCACTCCATTCACGTGCCAAGAAATGCTCTAATAGCAGAGAATTTGACAGCGTACGAATCGTGATTCAGTTTAACGGGAATTTTGGAGCTATTCACTGGCTTGCAACCTGAAGTTGAAACCAAAAGTCTCCTGGTTTGTAGTGCAGACAAAAAGCCCAAATGTAACACACAACCCTTACGCAAATATAATGTAGCTGCTTTCCTGTTTAGTTAGTTCTGGTGAATGTCCAACTACTTGTATTAAACATGACCTGTGGTCTGTGGAAAATAAGTTAGAAATAGGTCACCCCTACATCTAGCAATTAATTACAACTCTTGTGCGTTCTGTGATAAGTCATCGTTTCAAGAACCTTATTTTTTTTGCCAAGAATTTTCGACAAACCGTCACTTCCGTAGCGAACTTCTTGGAAATCCCAGTGTCAGCTGACCAACTCGACATGATTCAGGAGCGATCGTCCTTGAGGGTCATGAGAGCAATGGAGGCAAAGGCGCAAACCAACGAGGGCACCGGTGTGGGAACTCTCATTAACAAAGGTATCATTATTTTCTGCAAGAACTCAAATTCCACGGTATTACGATTTCTCGAGGGCTCAAGGCTCGACATATCTCTCCTCGTGGTAGGAGTGCAAATGTAAACATTGATTGTTTTCTTACAAACCCGATTAGCTGAGATTTACAAGATGTTTAGCGAACATTTGAAACATACTGTAACCATTCTAAATCAACGCCCAACATCTCCGCTTTTTCGAAACTGCCCAAAGAACTTTGAAGTTTTTGGTCGGTAATGGAGCATTCCGTCATTCTGGAACGAGTCTCCAGTTTCTTTTTTCTCAAGGTATATCACAAATTACATCCTGAAATACCTTAATTACGCGTGCTGAAAGCGGAAACGACATAACTATATAAACATGGAGAATATTGCGTGACATGATCTCGTCAAAGCGAGGGATGGTGGGTTCAAAGTGTATGAAATGAGCAAGTGCCTTTTGATTGCTCCAAATGTATTCGCCGATTGCAAACTTAAACGCACCTTAACTTAGTTATTGTCATCATATCGGCTTCGACAACGCAGGCTATGTAGGTCCTATGTGCTAATGTCGAAATGAAAATTCAGTTTCGGAAACGATTATTTGTTTCTCTTTCCTTCTTTATTGCAGGATTGATTAACAAAGCAATCACGGAGTATTCTGAAATGGACATTGCGTTTGTCAAGTCCAAGATCAAGGAAAAACTGGCTGATACTGATATTAGATACGTGGAAGATATCATGTAACAGAAACCCGTGTCCAACATCAATGTTGTCAATGCTGCTTTCACCAGCGTTCACATCTGTCAGATTATTAGCATTCATATCCATGTGTCGTCAAGGCGATTCCGGGAATCCAAATCCCGCGATTCGTGCGGAGAATCCAACCACTCACATTCGATTTCAGGCATACACGTTGGCAACGTTCTATGCCGTGTTTAGAGATGTACATGTATCTGATTCGTAAGTGTGACGTCACTTCAGTTTAAACCACACCCACTGCACACGTGCACTGCACATTTTTACATGCATTAACCACCACTTACATTGAACCATGGAACCGGAAGTTAACGCGCACCTTCAGCGATTGTCCAATGAGAGCCTGCAAATCGTGGCGCGTTTGCTTTTGTGAAGAAGTCACTTGCAAACCGGATACGCAACGAATACGTCACACGCACACTTATGTGTGTAAAAAGCGTTAGCGTGAGTACCTGCGCGTTAACTCCACGCGCGTACTCCATTCGTTTGTAGGGCACCAACTGGTTCTAAATGACGTCACAAAACACCGTCACCATCAACATTTGCCAAAGCAAAACGACAGGGGGTGGAATCTTGCTTTTTAATTTTCATTTACGGGCAAGCAGTTTCCTTGTTCCCACGACTGGGTTTCAGAAATATACGAGAGAGAAATGATAATAGTTCAATCCTAAATGCAGACTTAAAAGTTTTGTACATTTCGTCATTGGGATGTTGATGTCTATACGTTCTTCATCACATCATCACTGAATATATTTTGACTTCAATCGTGCCGTTGATGATCAAGTTAAGATATCCTTGACCCATGGTCCATGCTTCTCCTGAACTTGTATATAATTGCTAATCATGTTTCCAAAAATTGCCCACTTATATTTCCATCATGTGTTCAATCTGTGTTCATTCTGAATTCTAATGCCAATTTGGTTTTGTTTTGTTAATTGTAAGATGCAACCATAAAATGAATTCGCTCCAAAATTAACATGTTATAATCATTTTTAGGCACAATTCATTTTAACAACGTGCGCTGATTCAACATGAAAATGAGCGAAGAACAAAATCCACTTTTAGAATTATGTCTCGTCATAACGTCATGCATTTGCTGCAGTATTTCAATAATTTGGCGCAATGAACTAACATTTCAGTCTTAAATAACAGAAACCAAACATCACGTTTCTGTATTGGTAACAAATAAACCAAGGTTGCCATTTTTACTTTTTTATCATTTATTACAATCTTTACGGCTTTGAATAAAGATTCAGTCACTGGGATTTGGATCAACAGGCAGGCAATCCGTTCATTGACACCCCTATAATTATCCCATCTATTTGGTCAGGAAGTGAGTGAAAAGGGTATAAGGCACAGAACGTTGCTGTACTGTACCTTGTGCTTATTGTGCTTATAGGCCTGCGTGTAAATATTGGGTTATTGATAAAAAATCGAATAAAAAAAGATGACCTGTGCCCATCAATCTACAGTAAAATGACGTGTTATTTTTAACTTGTGTTCTTTATTTCTGTTCAGTTGTTGACCCACTCTTAACAAAGTTTTATCTTGTGTAGCAGAGTCTGTATTGTGCTTGTGATATTTATAGCTTACCCTGTCCATAAAGTATTCATCTCTATTAATTTGTACATCAACCCGAACCCCATTGGGACCATTGAAATTATGAAAAATAATATTAGATTCATCATGGTTAGGTTAAAATGTCCTCGATGTGAAAGTTACTTTGGAATAAACTTAGTACAGCTTCCCACTAAAAATTCTTGAATATGAGAAACTTTCTGATATCTCCTTTTGGTCACTACTGAAATGGTGTTTCTTAATTTAAAATTTAAAATCCTCCGTACATTGACAGAACACACATAATAATGATGTTGTTGCTGTGATGTCACCACAGAAAGAAAGTGTTAATTTGGGGGATTTTTGTTAAAACTGTCAATTCAAATATGGCAATAATAAATGTAGTGAGTACTACGGTGCTGTGGTGTCACAGCGTAACAATTAGATCCCAAAGTTAATCTGGTTAAGCGTGTTGGAGTGACAAGATGAAATGAATCGCAGGACGACCACTTGTTGTTGGATTACCAAGAATCAGTGGTGTGGAGAATTTATTTCAGTCATTAGAAGAATCAAGCTGATCATCAGCCAAACATCAGTGAATCACCGTCAGAATTACAGGAATTGGAGCCAAGTAGACAATAAGTATGCGTCCCAGTTAAGTTAGAGTTAGCAATTGTTGATAGTATCCCGATAAAGATTATATAAACGATATAGAAGAAATGACAGGAGAAATAGGTTTGCGGGTACACCATCGGGCGAGGTGTGGTTCTTAAAAGAACCGGTGAGTGTTAACTCGATGTTTCCTGAGGACGGTCAGAGAACACTAGCCGAAACATCGAGTTAACACTCACCGGTTCTTTTAAGAACCACACCTCGCCCAAAAGAGATTGATTCCATGGTGGACCCGCAACCTATTTCTCATGTCTCTTCCACCATGCAAAGCTTCAAATCTAGAAATGATAGATAAATGGATTGATGGATAGATGCCTGGATAAGTATAGGCAGATTCCCCAGATGTAGGTCTCCATAGGCGCTGCTACGTCATTGCCAAAATGTTCTGGAATTAAGGATAAGCACCCAAACTCCCATGCTGATCAAACTGAACGATTATCCGGAGGAAAAATCGTCACTGCCGTCACTGAAAGGTCGAGAACAAACAGTGATTGTTACCGCACGCCCTACTCCATGTGAACACATCACCGAAATCTATAATGCATCGACATAGAAAGTAATCCCAAATCAAAATTGCCGGAATTATGGTGAAATGCCACAAAATAAGCTTCCACCATCAAACAGGTGCACTGTTATGTGTAATATAAAGTGGAATGTTTGGGTTAAACTTTAACCTTCTAAAATTATGGCCTGATTATTCATGCGGTGAGAGAATTTGTGTAACTCGTACCACATATGCATATGCATGACAGAGGTTTATCCCACTGATTAGGGTTGATCTAGCCCTGTATCTAGGGAGTTAGGCAAGAGATCACGTGCCCCCACATAAATGTTTCAGAAAATTTTGGCTCATCGGCACACTCTCATGAACTGAAAAAAAATCACCAACGTAAACAAACTTGTAATCCAAAATCCTGGCAACTATTAGCACAGAAATATGTACATGTTACAACACTGAGGTTTTTTAATCGGTTTATCTTTTTTCTTGGTCATTCATAATATTTCTTGGTTTGTTTTGTTTCTAAGGTTATACTCTGTTGTGTTCAGATTTTTCTCAGTTTTACTCGTTTTTAAACCAGCATGATATTACATCCATTTTTCCCTGTTCTCTTAATCTCTACACCTTTTGTTGTTAATGTCATGTCGCAATAGCGGAATAAATAATGTGCTTGGTCAGTCTTAAACGTGCGTTTAAGACCGGCTCAGGAGAATGGGCGCGACTAATTTCAGCGTTCGTATCCTGAGCCGGTCTAAGACCGGCTAAGCACATAATTATCCCCATTCATAACACTTTTTGGTCAGAGAGTCAAAAGAAGTCATGATGGATTTCCAGCGATTTTGTTCTAGAGTTTTACTTTAATTTTCCCGAACACCCTTATCGACGAATTTAGTTTGTAACAACGAATACTCGCAGTATGGTCTGTAGATGTGGTGAATTGAAGAAATGTTGCATGTCCCATGACACATAAAATTTGTCTGAAACCTTAGATGTCACTGTCATTTTTATTCAAAAGTTAGTTATTATTCCATATACATCCAAATACAGTCAAAGAATACATGAACTCGACATGCGAAATTATATTCATAAAATGTTGTTTGCCTGTTATACAAAACAGCATATTCGTATCGATCCCGTTGCGATGGGGGATTAGTTACAAATTAGGCTAGAGAAACGCTATTAAAACAATATCCAATTTGGGAACTTCTTGGAAAGGGTATTCACTGGTTTTACGTATGAGCGTATCCAGATCATCTTGTCTTCTTGGTTCTCGGTTCTACAATAAATCAACGTTCCGATTTTTTTCTCAAACTCTCCAATCTGGTGCACTCTCCCCCACCCCCTTTTCTCACCCTCTAAAAGTTTGTTGAACTCCGGTTTGGAGGGTAACTTGCAGACTAAATGGTCGAGTTCGGGCGGCCTGTGCTTGACACGGGCGTCTTGTTCTCGCGCTCAAACAGCGGGAACACGACTTAAGAACACTGTTCTCGGAACAGGATCACACACCACCTCCTCGTCAGGGTTTTACAGGGACACACGGAAAAACTCGTGAGATTTTGATTTTTGAACAGCTGCAAAAAGTAGAGAGACGGCTCCCAAATCCATAGACCATGTAGACAATGGGAGGTTTTGCAAAATTAACATTAATTATTTTCCGTGACACAGAAATGAATGTTCCTGTTTATACAGAAAAGAATTCAGCCCATCCAAACCTTAACTCTCGAATAACGTATATGTGGACGCCATCATGTTGCGTGTTGCTTGCGATAACCGGTTGTTTGTTCCCGGCGTTCGAGCGGCCGACCAACGAACAACAAATCGAGCTGTTCGAGAGCATATGGGAACAAGCCGCCCGAGCTCAGCCAATGAGGGCTATGAGAATTCGTGCCGTACAACGGGCCCCAAAGCTGGATCAAGAGAGGGCGTAATTTTCCCATCAGCCAAGGCTCATTTGATAGTAACTGTGCAGTAGTGGTTCATGAATATCTATGAAATGCAAGCATTATTAAAGTCGCATCGTTACCAATAAAAGCAACTCTCCCGACCAACATGACAGCCTATTTTCAACCGATGAGGGGGTCCTTCTAGGCGGATTAAGCAGCTCAGTCCATTTAATGAAATATAGGTCTTTTTCCTTTTGGGGAAACAGAAATACCAGACCAACAATGTTTTCAATTAGGGTTAGGCTCACTGCTAACGAATTATTTTGTGATAATAAAATCGAGAAATAGTAATAAGGTGGCAAACCTAAAAGCCCTTTTCGTGAGCAGTGGTTTGTTTGGTACGATTTTTGGAGGCCTGAAACAAAAAAAAAATCAACGTTTTCCTGAAATTTTCAATAGCGGGCTGTGGTGGAGAAAAATATGAATTTGAAGGCCGACTAATTGCGTTTGCATATAGACTTAAACTCAACAGTACGTTAATTCCCACATTATAATCGTGTGCCCTTGCGGGCGTATAATCATTCAGCCTTTTGGGAATGAAAGATGGATAAAAAAGTACATTAAGTTCACAAGAAGTTCATTATTGAAACTGAGGCCTATTTTTCCCTTTTAACATTCCGAGGAGACGTACAATATCACAGTATGGATATCCCCGTCGTTGCATCTTGAATGTAACTCTCACAGCTAAGTTGACCGTCGACGGTCCAGCAGAATTACATATGCATGTACTCGTCATAACCAGAACTTTGTTATTGTCGCAAAGTCCACCATAATGGGACAGTGTAAGTTTAATACAGCTAGAGAAAACCTCGGAAATGCAGAAGTCGACCAAAGTAAAGCAAGTCACGACCACTTTATGATAAATCCAAAAATACTTTCACAAAATTAGAGTATTATAGAAAATTTACAAGTTATATTAAAAAAGGAATTATACAATATGAATAACCATCACAAACTTAAACGGTACCGGGACAAAGAAGAACAGGGGCATCGTGCACAGGGGTGAAGACAGTGGCCTCCATTGGGTGACGTCGGCAGGTCCACGGGGACTATGGCGTTGGTGTAACACTCCCGGCTGATGGGGGAAAGGCGTGTCCTGTTCCCTACCAAAAAATCCTGAAAACTAATATGTTTCTTACAATAAATACGTGCCCATTCATGTAGTCCTCTGGCCACAAGATTGTTTTTTCATTACTCTTTCAAAGATCAATAAACAGACCAGCGCTGCAGCGGTCCTCGCAAAATATGTGCTAAATCCCTGGCAAGATATTTACAAAATCAAATTGCTAATTTTGTCCATACAAGCCGTTATAAACCATGAACAAGGTTACAAGCAATTCAATTTTTACAGAGTTTCAACAATGATTTGTAAATAAATAAATCACACTTTAAGAATAAATCTGGCTTTTAGGTTTTGTGACTTAGCGACAAATCTAGCTCGGCAAACCCATAGCCAAACCGCGGGTATCCACAATCATCGGCCTCGGCCGGCAACACGGAACTTCCGTCTGCCCTCTCCAGACTGGAGAGCGAATTCAAAGGGCTTTGGTGCCCTAAGAGACTCCAAGCCAGAGTTGTTTGCCACTAAGTGACGATCACTCCCCAAAGCTTGATTTTATCACAAACAATTTTAATTGAAATGTACCGCAATATAATTAGGAAGGTCTCAATGACCAATAACATCCAACCAAACACATTCATCCACATGCGTGAAGTTTGCATGGTGGTTCACGCTTGAAATAATCTGCATGTTTAAACCGAATATGGGTACACTGGCGCGACATCCATGCTCCTGCGAATGCCCGAAACTTCACTAGGCGTAAAAGCTCTTACAAAAGGGACCTGACACCCAAATACACACGTTTTAAGGTGGCACCTCCAAAAATATAGTTTCCTGTTCCGTTAAAATTTACATTCGATTCATAACCAAGCATCAGATCGTCCATGCATTCCACAGGCTGTTTTACACAATCAAAATTGAATAACTGATACACTCAAATGATCGTTAACTCATACAGTCATAGCGGATAATAAGTTTTTTATTATTTGTTCAATCAATTAGTTAATTAATTTTTTTGCGGTAGGCCTATACCTGCTTTTCCTAATTACGTACTAGTTTTTCTTGTTACATCTTTGTTCCACCTTTAATTGTCTACATCAAATTAAAACCTGTGTGAATGACGTAATTTTTATCGAGCACTCATTGGATAGAGTTCGTTTGAACGGCAACATTGGTCAACGTTCCCGCTTAGCACTTGCGCCTGACAGGTAAGCACACTACACTAGCACAAGAGGACTTTACCCACAAGTGTTGATTGCGCATAATACGTAATTGTTAGCTTGATATGTTGTCTAAAGCTAGGCCTAAATGTTTACTCCGTTGGAAAAACGAGGAGACGCCCAGACAACAGGCGTATAGCCATAGCTCTGGCCGGGGGCCAACTTATGCTTAAGCACAAAATTTGCTTAAGCGCGAAAAAACCTTGCTTGATAAATCAGGTAACCAACCAAAACGCCATGTTACGTAAATTGTTTTGGGATCGTATTTAGCTGTCTTTTGGTTAGCATGACAATCAGATAGAGTTTGAAATGGTAACCTTAGTTTTTTAAGCAAAGGTTTTTCCACGCTTAAGTAAATGTTGTGCTTAAGCGGCTATGACATTGGCCCAGAATCCTGTTTTTGAAACGACCTTGAGGGCTTATTACTTCACAGTTTGCATATTATGAGGGCGCCAGCGCTTTGCTCTTCGCACGCAATTGTGCGCAGGAAACCGAGACTCCATGGGGTGCGCGAGCGTTCCTTCATAAGGGTGCATTCCACCAAATGGTTGTATTTCTGCGCGCGAGCTCATTAATATTTTGTGATCCCAAGGGATTTTTACAATAAAACATGCCATAACCAGGAGGCATCACAGAAATATTTCTATAAATCCCGAATTTGGGACTGATAGTTTCCAGTTCGGGGTATTTCTTTCACAAAAATCCCCAAACTGCGGGCCTATTTTGGATAGAGGCGAGCGGCTACATTCAGAAATGAGCGCTTATTAGTTTTACTGCTGTTTTGGGGTATCTTCCTTGAAAGGGGAATAAAAAAGATTTTCGTGGCTAACCCCCGTGAAATTGAAACGAAAAGTGATCTTTTGGCCATAATCTTGAATTTCCGGGGGAAAAAAACGGAGGCCAACCTCTTCACGAGAGTCAAAGGGCGGTGGCGCTATTTCGGTCCGATTTTGCACTGTTTTCTACGGGCGCGTATTTGATGTAGTGCAACCATAAGGGTGCACCACACCACTACAAATAAATTCCCATAGACT